TTTAAATTGACTTATGATTCTTTAGTGTTAGAGTCCTTGATGGTTGAGGGAAGATATGGTGGCAGGAGCAGTTGAGAGCTCACATCTCAAATGGCAATCAGGAGGCAAAGAACACATTTGGAATGGCATGTATCTTTTTGAAATCTCAAAAACTAACCTCAGTGGTATACCTTTTTCAACAAGGCACACATTCAAATTCTTCCCAAGCAGTACTAACAACTGGGGATCAAGTATTTAAACGTATAAACCAATGGGGGCATTGACATTTAAACTACCACAAGTGGGTGCCACCATGTTCAACTTCTCTAATAGTTTAAAAACATATATATTAATGATATTTAAATTTTTCCTTTTATTATTTTATGTGTATTGGTGTTGTGTCTCTTTGTGTATCTGTATACATGTGGGCATTCTTGGTGCCTGGGGAGGTGAGAAGAGGGCATCAGATATTCTAGAATTGGAGTTACAGAAAGTTGTGAACTACCCTGTGGGTGCTGAGAATTGGATACGGGTCCTCAGGAAGAGCATCGATTGCTTTTAATTGTCGAGCCTCTTATCTAGTCCCAATAATATTTTTAAGACTTTAATCAATTTTCTTTTTAGTGGAAAGAAGGAAATGCAATGGTCACATGAATATATGCTTCCTTATTGTGTGTATGTGTGTGTGTTGACACAGGATATGTATACTATAGATTTTAGTCAGCAGGATGGGATGTTTTTTGATTATATGTGAACAGAAATCACCAAAAGACAAAGAGGACATCCATAGTGTTGGTATTCTATGACTCTGATTCCTAAAGAGACATACTCATAGCTATTCAGTAAGAACAGAATATTACAGTTTTGAAACCCAGAATCTGGGATTTACAGTTTGCTCACTATAAGAAACTTATGGGTTTGGACCAACCATTCTCCTAAAATAATGGCATCTAGTTTAACCCCTAGATCTTCCCTACATGAGCAATGCCAGTACTCACAGCCAGTTGCAGATCCAACAGCTTGGTTGCTAAGACTCTGCCTTCTCAGAATGACTGATATAGTACTTGAGAATTTCAGCACGTAGGGCTTGACAGTCCCTTTTCTAGCAATCAGGAACTAGAGTCCCTTGTCACATGTATATCTTACCATAATTCATCATCTGGCCCTGGCCTTACTACCTCTACCTCTAGTAACTTTTACTAGAGCCTTCACTCCTTAATTAGTGTTACTCTCTTGCTACCACTGTCTGCCTGATACCATTTCTCATTGCCAGCTCAGATTGTCCTACTTACAGAAAAGAAGAATATAAGTAAAAAAATAATAAAAGTAGGCAAGTTTGCTTGTACCACAGTCCCTCATGCAAATGAAGGTTAGCACTAGTCATGTGCCTTCTCTTGAGCCAATAGGAGAAATGAGACCCCTGTGGACTGAATGAAAATGAATATAGGTTTTCTAGCAGTCATCAAGTCTTGGCTTTCATCAAGTTTAGTTTTCATTGTGTCTCAAGTGGTCACAAGTCAAATATATTTTCAACCAGAATTATAGCAGTGACAACAGTTGCAACATCAGTGCTGGGCCCCAACCACACAGGGTCTCTGTGAGTTGCTTGCTGGTCAGCCTTGTTTTCCAGTCCATGTGCTTCCTGTTTTCTAGTCCTGGGTTACTGCCCCAGCCTTGACCCTCTGACATCAACAAGAGGGTGACTGAAGAGTTCTAGGTAGTGACCAGGGTTGAAACAAAAGGAAGCACACAGAGTGGTGACAATGAGGGTGAAGGAAATATAGAGCATGCAGAAAAGGGTAGACTCAAGTCTGAGTAAAATATCTAGGAAGAGACAGCAACAACAACAACCAAATAATTCTATATGGAACAAGGGTTTTCATCCTGCACTCAGTTTTAGTGGTAGAATCTTGAGGGAAGAGTGGATTTCCTTTTTCTTGTGGTCAACTTTGCAGCAGACAGAAAACAAATCCAGGCTAATGGGAACACATAGGAAACAAGAAGGGCTCTTATTAGAGCACACATGGTTCTTTAATGTTCAGGATACATAAAAATGCCATCCATGAAAGAATGTTTCAACCAACAGAACAAAGAAACGTTTCTTAAATATTTATTCCTGTATTTAATTATGCACAAGTGTGTATGTCTGTGAGGGTATGTGAATGTGAGTACAGTTGCTAGTGTAAACATGAAGAGGGCATTAGATCCCTTGGAGCTAGTGCTACAGGCAGTTGTGAGATACCTGATATGCATCATGGGAACTGAACTCTGGTCCTCTACAAGAGTAGCATATACTCTACACCACTTGAACCATCTCTCCACTTCTAGCAAATAGTAAATAATTGTGAAAATTCACATTTGAAGTTGGTTTTGTTTGCTTGCTTACTTGTTTCAGACAGGGTCTCAGACTGTTCTGGAACTCACTCTGTAAACCAGATTGGCCTAACACTCACAGAGATCTTCCATGAAGCCTCTGAGTGCTGGTATTAAAGGTACGCACCACCATGTCTGGCCTGCATATATATTTTTTTAATTTTGTGCATGCCTATGCATCTCTGTAGGAATATATGCAATTGTCAACAAGACCAAAAGAAGGTTCTTAATACTCTAGAGCTCAAACAACTTGGATACTGGGAACTGAACCTGGGTCCTCTGGAAAACTATCAGACTTTTAATGACAAAACCATCTCTCCAGCCCCTAGGCCTGATGACAGTACAATTTATGCACTGTTTCTTCACAGGGAAACAGAGGAAGAAAAAATAATAATAAAGTAAACAAACTGCTTAAAATTTGTGACTACTTGAGCAGTCCAACAGTGAAAATAAAGCATGATTATTTTGTCCTGTTGGTTTGCAGTAGGAGATCCTACACTAAATCCCCAAGCTCTGCCATCACCTAGGAGTTGAGAGGTGAAAAAAGGCCACATAAATTCTTTATAGAACATCCTTCTGTAAATGTCATGTTCCTTAGGAAACCATCTATTTCAATTTTTAAATATATTCAGGTTACACAGATAGGAGACATGCTGCATAAAATATTATAAAAACATTATAAAAAGCTCTTTTCAGAATTTAATAGGCATACAGACTAACTGGTGATCTTTGTTGCTGGTTTTTTCTTAGTCTTTACTCTTTTGGCTCTTGTAGGGGGCCTGCTACCCAGTAAATACACACAGACACTTTTTCTTATTTATAAAAAAAACAGCCTTAGCTTGGCTTATTTCTAGGTAGTTTTCTTAACTTGAATTATCCTATCGACCTTTTGCCTGTGGGGTTTTTTTACTTCTCTTACTTCTGTATATCTTACTTTCACTCTTACTCTGTAGCTGGCTGGGTGACTGGGTATCTGGCCCCTGAAGTCATCTTCTCCTTGTTCTATTTTTTCTTCTTCTTCCAAATTTATCCTATTTATTCTCTCTGTCTACAAGCCCTGATAATCCTTTCTCCTTCCTTGCTATTGGCTGTTCAGCTCTTTATTAGACCATCAGGTGTTTTAGACAAGCAAAGAATCACAGATCCATAGAGTTAAACAAATGCAACATAAAAGAATGTAACATATCTTTGCATCATTAAAACAAATGTTCCACAGCAAAAACAAGTGTAACACACCTTAAAATAATATCCTCCAACAGATTTATGTTAAAATGTCCACCTCAGTATAGTCATTTTTTGTGGTGCTTGAAATGTACATTTCAAAACCAAATTCAAAACACCCATAGATTACAATAGCCCTGTTTCATAGTCACATTGAAACATAAGACTATTTATCAGAAGAGTTCTAAGAAACTAGATTTTATGGTAAAGGCAATGTTTTCTTCTTGGTTTCCCATGTGAAGAACATGGGAAGTTACAACTGATTATCCTTCCATTTTTTCAAATCGAGGTCCTGAATAGATGGCTAAGTACATGCAGTTCTTCCAGAAGATGCAAGTTCATGCAGACCAGGAGCATGAAAGCTGTAAGTTCTGGTACGATAGTATACTGGTTTAATGCCTTGACTTCACAAATGAGATATTAATCACCTACAGGGTAATACAGACATCATCTTATAACCATTTAGCTGTATATCTCAGATTCTACAAGTGGTCTTGTAGCAAATGTTATAATATTACATCATATGAAATAATAAATCAGGGATCGGAGATGGTCCAATGGTTGAAAGCACTTGCTGTTCTTACAGTAGGCCAGGGCTTGATTCAGAGGACCTGCAACTCTAACTCCAGTTCCAGAAAATTCAGCCACCACTTTGGGCCTCTGTAGCTATCAAGTACACATTTGGCACACATACATGCATGCAAGCAAAACATTCATGCACATAACATAAAAAAGTAGCTTTTAAAGGAAAAAAGACAGTCTGCCAACAGAGGACATAGTGACAGTGGAACCGGTCTGGCAGAAATGGAGATTTGTAAAAGAGACACATATATCTACCAATCTGAATGTCAGACTAACGAACAATGGATCCCAAAGAAATGGGAATTGACCTAGAAATCTTATGCTGAGAGAAGGAAAAGGCCACAGCTAGAGTGGAAGATTGTATCTAGGAAAGAGGTCTCATTTTTCTAACAACATGTCAGACCACCTTACAAGGTTGATTGAAACCCAAACAATGATGGTTCAATCATGGTCACCACCCCACCTTGACAAGGACTGCTTAGATGTGCATATGGTTGGCCCTGTATTTCAGTCTTAACTCTTCTTCAGGACACTTCAGATAATGGACTTGGGAAACTCTTGGGTTAGTTGGGCTTGGAGGATCTTTAGCTCTCTTCGTCCCTCTTCTCAGTGTAACTGCATTGAATACATATTTTATTCTTTGTACCATTACTTTAGCTCTTTAAATTGATTTATTGAGGACAGGTGGTCAAATCTGGCTTAAGGAACAAACTGTGCCTACCCCCAGTGCAGCATGAACAAAACACTGTATGAAAAGTGGACCCATCCAAAATGTTGGTGCTGAAAATGGGATAATAAGACTAGTTCATGTTGGCTGAATCAAACAAAAGACCAATACAGCAAAGTCATACTACAAATAGACATTTTAATATTGGTAACAGAGTAATCTGAGAGAATAAGGTCATTTACTAGGATAGGATATGTGAAAAGTGAGTGTCTCAGTGATCAGCAGACCCCATTCTTCATGGGCTGAAGAAAAACATGTTCAGGTCTCAACACAACCTACATTAATTCTGAGTACACCAGGCCACAACCAGACTCATGAGTCTAGTCAGTTAAAGCTAATCCTAAGGATTTCATTACCAACCTCTTACAGAATGATTAATGGTTAAGGACAACAACTATTTACAAATACAACTAGACTCAAATCACTTAGACAGAAAAGAGAGTTACGAGTTACAGAACATAGGTACGGGGGGGGGGGCATCAAGAATGGCCCCAATGCTAACAAATGAGCAAAATAGAAACCTTGAATCTCTGTGATCTTGAAGAATGTTTACACATTACCTCCAACTTCTTTCGAGAATGGAAAAGTTCAAATCATCTTTGAGTATATAATGTGCATAATGATAAGTATACAGAATGAGAGGAGGGTAGAAAACAGAGAAAGAGGACAATTATTGAATCCGGGCATTCTCTAGCAGCAGTCCTTAGACAGAGTGTAATCTGTTTTTAAAAGCTGAGAGAAATATTACTACATGCACATGTTGTCTACTACTCCAAGATAGGGAAATAGCTTCTATGACTACCAGCACTTCTGAAAGGGGATACACAGACACCAAAACTAGCCAGAATAGATAGTCAAAGCAGTGTGCTCATCCTTCATGTTTATAGTAAGATACAGGCTGTAAGGTACTCAAGACAAAATTCATCTTAGCAGAAGAGAAGGTAAAGGACTTAGCAGGAGGCAGAAACAAAAGACTTCCTTCTTCCGGGCATCAGTCTTTTAAGGTGAAGATGGAGGAACTCACAGATGTCTTCAACAACTTATTGGCAGTACGCATGAGATTGGTGAAGCCACGGACTGTGAGGATGAGATCAAGAGTCAGGATTTGGGGATAGCAGATAGCAAGGAAGCTCCTCTCTTTACCTCTCTCTACCTTCATCCCTACTCTGTCTTTCCTCCTGACTTTTCCATTCTGTGTGCCCCGACATGCCTTTAATCCACTCTGATTCAAAGCTTTCATCAGCCTGGAGACAATGAATGCCCCAGGAGTGCTTGTTCTCAGTCCAGTATTACTGAATGTTACTGGGACTGAGCTCAGTACTGAGAAAGGACAGTTACTGCTATACTATGTCCTTGCCATCTCCCCATCTGTGTCCCTTCCACTTTATTCATCTATTTCCACCCCAACTACACATTTCAACCATATTCTGCCACTAAGACAAGCTAAGGGAACAGAAGAGCTGAGTCAGCATGGGGTAGGGGCATGTGGGCACTCTCAGGTACTAACTCTCTGCCACATGCCCTTTGTCCATGCTGACTCAGCACAGTAGCTGGCTTATTAAAGGACAAAGAAAGGGCACAGGGATTGTTCTCCTACCTGCATTGTTGTGAAGCCACACCACAGCCTTTCTTTCCAGAAGTTCCCACTCACACTTCAAGTCTTTGCCATTGGCATGAAGCCAGATCACAGCCAGCATTGTAGCCCAAGCTGAGGGTTCCAGCACCTGCACAGAAAGTGAATTCTCTGATGCCCAGGACAGAGCAAGAAGTCTCTCAGGATGACACATAGAAATCATAGGAACCCATCAAACACCTCTGAAGAGCATGGTCCCATGGTGCCCAGAGAAGAACACACATAGATTAACGTCTTTATAAAATACTTTTGGTTGCATGAATCCTCTTCCCCCATTCCCCTCTGGAAAGGGGAAACAGGAAAAAATAATGTCAATAGTTACAAGAAAATAATAATAAAACAACAAAAACAAACAAACAAACAAAAAACAAAGGTAAAATGGTTTGCCCAGTGTTCTCCTGTAGTGAATGATAGAGGTGGAACTGAAGACCAAATGAGTTTTTACTAATTATATTGTTGAATTGAAGCCTTGAATAAAATGATATCACCCATGAGTTTTTACTCACTGTTTCTTTCTTTTTTTCTTTTTTTGGTTTTTCAAGACATGGTTTCTCTGTGATTTTGGAGGCTGTCCTGGAACTAGCTCTTGTAGGCTGGTCTCGAACTCACAGAGATCCGCCTGCCTCTGCCTCCAGAGTGCTAGGATTCAAGGTTTGAGCCACCACGCTCAGCTTTGCTCACTGTTTCTTAGCATCTCAGTTTTCAGACTCAGCAGAACAATGGACATTACCACTTTAGAGCGTGTCTCCCCACATTCAAAAACAGCTATCTTGTCCCCTTTGAATGATGTCATTTCAGTACCTTCTCGTCTTTCCTATAAAAGCTGCTCAGAAAAGAATAAGTCCTCCGGGCTTGCTCTCCTCTAAGAGAGCACAGCAGTTTTCAAAATATATCCTGAAATGGTCACACCCAGAAGGAAACATAATTGTGAATTTTACTGGCCACAGTCCAAGCTTTTGGCTTTACAGGACAGCCTGTGATCTTCACCAACTGTCCAACCTGTTGCTTCTTGCTGAGAGTCGGTCAGCTGAAATATCTGGTTTCCCAAGTAACTTCTTGTAAGACATTGTGTCTTTCTTCTACTTGTATAGATGTGAATTTAGAGACAACAACTATACTTGCTTTTAGTTATACTAGGCGCTGTAGTCATTTTATAAAATAAAATCCAGATTATCTTATCTGACTATTTGACCAGCCTTTATATAACCTTGCACATCAAGATTCTATTGCATGGCTTATCTCTTAGTTCTGTCATACATCCACAAGAACATTTGGGCTTACATGTTCACCAGAATCCTCACTGGAAATACTGACCTACAAAAAAGGCAGAACTTGGTGGATTTAAAAGACATTCAAATAAAATATCCAAATACTTAAAAAATAATAAAATTTAAAACACATTCACTGTTTGGTGCTATGGATTTCCAGTGAGTTAGTACTTGACCCAGATAATATGTTTTTTGCAATAAAATCCTTTTTTCTCAAATATTATACAACAGGTATCTTAATTTCTTCATTCTGTTGGCTTGGTGGCCATCTTCAAAAAGGGAATGTTCATCTCATATGTGTTGCACTTAATCAATTGCTGCTAAAATTTCATGATCCCTAATATTTCCTTTCCAATTTTTGTACATTATCCTTTTGATTCTTTGTTCTCAAACAGCATTTTCATATAAAAACACAAAGCTGACACATATCCTTTGAAAGCTTCCAATACCCACACTTTTAAAAGTAAAAAGAAAGCATGATAATTTCGGTAATCTGTTGTTGTTGATTCTAAGGCTTCAGATTACAGGGCCTTGGACTTGTCCAGCATGAGCTGTAAATACCTGTGAACTGTATCCTCGGGTTCTTGTGTATTTAACTCCACACACTACAAATCAGCAGTTTAACATGTAATCCAGACCAAGTAAGTTCTGTAATGTGTTTTGGGGACAACACTTTGAAACAGCTATGTACTAAACACACTGCACTTCAGTTTAAACTGGGCTTCTTTTTTCATTAGTCACAATCTAGAGGTACAATAGCCAAATGCCACTAGTGGATACTGTATTGGGCATTATGGCTAGACAATAAGGGAAGTTTATTGCATCACATTCCAGGTTTAGAAATTATTCAGAATAAAATTTTCCCTTCATTTTTTTGTAATTTGTCCTATATTCCAAGAATTTCTTACCAGTTAGATGATTTGTCAAGTTATCTTAAAATTTTCAGTGTAATTTATTCACATTGCCATAATTCAATACATTGGAAGTAAATGGTCAGCCTATTGTGACTTTAATAAACTTTGAGTAGAGTGTAGGCCATATTCTTTGATTAAAAGTAAAGCCATAATGGGACTGATATTAGGGGTTCTTAAGACACAGGCCTAGCATTTAAGGCAGTTCTACCCATCACTGGTACACAGGGTTTGTAACATGCACCTTCTTCATCAATAAGTGGCAACTAAGATAACTGAAATAGAATATAAATGAGGTTAAGGAGGATTTGAGATTTTCATTTGTCATCCATTACCTTCAGAATTAATGTAATATGAATATTAGTTCATTCTCACTCTTACAGTTCCATTATAATCACAAAACTATCAATCTCTATCTACTAGATGTTAATCTAGTCCATATCACCCTCATATTATCCTATCTTAAGTAGACCCTGATTCACACAAAATTTTGCTACTAACAAAATAATCTCCCAAAAAAATACCAATCTCTTTGATAGTCTTTGGATTTTACCTCAGTAGGGTGTGCAGCCTTCATGTCTTCAAAACTAGTACCTAGAACCTTGGCTAAATCCTCATTCATGTCCCAGGAACCATTTGCATTTTGGAGAAGGATCAGTTGTGCAACAGTGTGCTCCATACTCCCTTTGAGAAGAGGAGAAAATGTCAAGTGGTGGGAAATGATGTCACTATTGTATTTTGGCCTGCCTGAGTGGCTTTCTGAATTCAGAGCCATGCAATAGCAAGAGTGATGTAGAAAGGAGGCCTCCAGGCATCCTCATGATGTATCTTCACTCCCAATATGAAGGGATAGCCGGGGTAGAATGAGCCAAATTAAGGTGTCCGCTCAGTTCTGTAGGCCCTGACTACATGGAGTGCATGCAGGAAGAGATGGCAAAGAGGGATTTGTTATTCTAAAACACACCCCAGAGCCCATTAGAGGTTTATAGATCCTATATTGTAGTCCAAATGGAGCTGGGTTGACCCTGGAAAGTACAGGTGCTGAACCAATCTCACTTGCTATCAAGTGCTCCCATGTAGATTTCCAGGTAGGGAGATTTGGAAGACTGGTTCTTCCATCCCCATAGATCAAAGAAATGAACTAAGGTCCATCTTACCTTTTTCATAAGTGTGCAATTTGCGTATGTTGGGGAGGTCGGGGGGCGAATCTGTGTGAATCACGCATTTCATCCTCTGGTTGTAATATCTCTCTTGGTGTGAGCCTAGATGGATATGAGAGATAAACCTTGGTAAGACAATATCCCTGAAAAAATGCTCACTGAGAGTGTAGGGACCAGCATGATACACTGAATTTAAAGGAGTCTCACCCTCTGGCATGCGTGCCATGATGGCACAGTAACTCATCTGCATATTCCTTGGAGGCTGAGATACAGGGGCACCGGAGCAAGGTAAAACCATGGGTAAAACTGAAAGACACCAGTACAAACATTTACATTGCAGCATCCAGGCTCTCCAAAGCTGAAGACAGTGAAATCTGCCCATGTGAGACTTAAGCAATCCCATCTCCCTCAGCTGTAGTTGGCACCTATGTATTTCACTCTTTTCCCATTTGCTGCCTTCTTGTGCACTCTGACCTTCCATCTGGCTTCATATTTCAGCCTTCTTTGTTACTTCCTATGATCCACTGAACTATCTGAATCTCAAGCTACTGACTCCTGCTCCATTCTAACCTCTGCCATCAAGTTGAGAATTCTGACACCCTTGTGGGTAGCACATGCAACATCCTAATAGAAATGTCCCTGACTTCCTCAGATTCAGGGACTTTGTCTCTATTCTGTGTTAGCTCCAACCCCACCCCCCAGTGATGACAAACTTGTCATCTTTCAGCATTGTTCTATTCTTCAAAAATTAATTAGCATTAATATATATTCAGTGTGTCTAGAGTTTTAACTTAAAGGCTATTATATTTGGTCTCTGCCTACATTTGAGACTGCATAAATCCTTTTTTCTTCTATTTACTATCAAGTTCCTCCCTCCCATCTTTGTTCTTTATTCAAATCAATACTTTGCACAAACCAATTACTTAAATTCCTTACCAGTCATGTCCTTTTCATTATACTTATCTGGCAAAAATCTTAATTTGGAAAGGAAACCAAAGCTCTAGCCATTTAATTTTTATTCAGAAATTAATGAGTATCGCTAAAATGAGTGCCCCAGACCATGATTATCTTTAGCTGTTTTAAAGATATCCTTATCCTTAACACATGATTATATTTCTCTCTGAGCATTCGACTTTACAACTGTTGCCAGTGGCCCTTCAAAATCTTCTCCTGCTCAGTGTTTCTTCTTCTTCTTCTTCATGTTTCAGACTGGCTCAGTCATTAGTCATTGTTGTGCTCCTTAACAATCTAGTCATCTAAACCACAAATCACCTTCAGCTTTTAACTTCTGATTATTCAAGTGTTATACGCATTTTGACATTTTATATTTTCTTTGTTTCATTTCCCAATCCCTGGTTTCAAATATCTTTCCCAACACACACACACACACACACACACACACACACACACACACACACACACACACACACATTTCCTTGGAAGAGAGAAGTTTAAAACTTGCCATGAATCCTGTATGTGGAGGGACAAGAAAAACCATGGAACTTTTCTTTACATAGTAAAGAATTCTATGTAAAGAATAATGAGAAAAAACTCATTTTTTGGGATAAAACATACCATCAGAAGAATTTCTTGGCCTTGCAGAAGAGCCACCCAAGAGAATAGGTCTTGGAATATCCCTGTGAAGCAGGGGGCCCTGGACTGGCTCATTGAGCTCCTTGTTGATGGCAACAAAGGCTGTGAAGGAGCTCATGACTCCAGACTCTAGGCTGATGTCCAGCACATCTCTTTTAAATATCATTGTTGTCTCTCTGAAGCCAAAGTCTTTGGCCTGGATCATGGACTTCGCAGCAAGACGATGAATGGTGAGGCTGAAAGAAAAAAAAAACTTTCTGAAAGTAAGAGGAAAACCCACATGCCTTTTTTTTTGGGGGGAGCTGTTAAAATTTACACATCACAAAGGTAAGGGAATAGGAGAGAAAAGGGAGGAAATATGTGAGTGGGTAAGAAACAAAACATGATTGTAGAGACACAATTAGGTTCGAGGTCAAGGGAAGGAATTCAGCCATCAAAGAGCACAGGGATAAGGAAAGAAGGAAGGGGGAACAGAATCCAGAATTCTCACTTGTCATCAGGCTTGGGTTGTAGAGAAAATGTCACCTTTTCCTCATAACTTTTCCCGTGAAGGGTGTACTGGAGACATACTTCACCTGTAGCCTCTTCTTGCTATAAATTAGAGAATAAAAGTAAAAGAGAGAAATCGGTAGGAAGATGGTGAGGTTGTAAACTGCAGCCCCCTCCACCCCCAGCTTAATATTTTCAAGTTTCTATCCAGAAACCATTTGTTCAAGGAGACAGAAACCTGGCTTGATGAGAAGAATGCTTGGCCAGTTCCAGTTATCAAATACTATAATCTGCTGAGATTCAAAACTATCTATTTTATTTAATGAATCTACCAGGGCAGTATTTGCACCAAGAAGAGAGACTAATATTGTGTACTCACCGGTATCTGTCCAACCAGTAGGGAATAGATGATTAACCTTTGACCCCTAAAGATAACAGTTTGCTCTGGGGACAGCATGTGTGCAAACAGATTAGGAGGCAAACTCCAGCTCAGAGAGATATCCTCTACTACAGACTGCAAAGAGCGTCTCAGGGACCTAAGAGCCTGCAGGAGGAGAAAGGGCAGTCAGTATAAGCAAGTAATGATAGTGACTGCTATCATCTATGACTTACTGTACACAGGGATCATGAGCCATAATGAATATTACGCCTAATTCCTATTGTTATACAGAGAGACGACCTTATTGCTCTTCCTTTGCAGCCTAAAGTTAAGAGATTTAACACAAAAATGTGAGAGATGTAAGAAAGATGATACCAGTTAGACAGAAGCTTAGGCGATGTCTAAGAAGGCTTTTCTTTGTAAATACTAATAAAATGGCACATCTGTTTGAAGTCACATTGATTTTATTATATATAGCACATTTGATCCTTCTTCTTTGCCTGTATCCTTTGCAGTGATGGTTAGATATAACACTAGAAGATGTCCTGAAGTACATACTTAGATACTTAGGCATGACAATGAAAACTCTTAGTCTGTCTCTGGTCAACATAAAATCCTCAACTCTCAGCAACGTATATCTGAGCTTATGCTTAAAAAGACGATAAGATATTGGACCCTCTTTCTACAGACTGGAATTTCTCCCACTATATTTGTAAGTTAAATATTGAAGACATCAAGAAATGTGTTCTATGGGTAAGCTGGACCCCTACCCTTGAAGAAATGCCTCCTATTATTGATTTTTTTTTCATACACAGTGGCCCCCCCACCTTGGACTGCATCCGGTCGTTTCCTGTAATAAACTCTGCAGTGCCCCCTGACACCCGGGCAAGGCTCTTTATTAAGCTGGTAGAGGCCCCTTCTCCAATGCCAAATGAGAAACATCTGTGAAAGTAAGAGAATGGAGGTTAAAGGCAAAAGTGATTGGAATTATCAAATTAATGCATCCATTATCAGATATTATTTGAACACAATGTACTACAGAATAACTCTCATTTACACAATATGTTCTATTTCATTTTTCACATGAAAATCTGGAGCTCAAAATCAAATAAGTTAATATCACCAGCACCTTCACGACACTGCATACTGTTTGCCCTGGCCGGGAGAATGCCGGGATGAGGAGTGTGCCTCCTGCGCTTCTAAGGGGAAGCTCTCCTTCTGTCCATGTCTATGCACAGCAAGCAGTGTTTTATCCATGGTTTAATTTCCCAGGAAAAACAGTATACACACAGATAGTATATTATTGGTAAAACAAACAAGCATTCTAGATGGCATAAAACAGTTTTTATTGTAAACCAGCACACTGCAACTTGGGAATATCTATTGGTCTTTTTAGATTGGGTTAGTATAAATCACAGCTCCCAGTGATATCAGTTTTAAGATTAATTCCCCAAAACATGCATGAATCAGGACCAACTCTTAATTACAGAAAGCTGACTTGACTAACAATAAAGTTAGGAACAAATTGTAATAAATAACAAATCATACTCCGAGGAACAGTAGATTTTATTCTAGCTCTAGAGCCACACAGGAGTTACACAGTGTGTTCACATGGACTCATTTGCCCTTGTACTTGTGGTATGGGTGGATTTTATAAGAAATGTTTATTTCTTATAAAACATTTAGAGTCAGAAAACAAAGTAAAGAGTAAAATGACCCATTGATCTATTTAGCGGCATTAAAGAAAATACGGCAAATTAGTTTTCTATGTAATTGATGTTATTTAGAATATTACTTTTTTTTGAAAGAAAAAAGGAAACACAATCACTTAGTAAGTCTCAAAATGTTCAATCATTGTCAAAACTACCTAGTAACAGGCAATACATAGCTACATTTGGCCTTACTAAAAGTTTCCCCAGAAGAAATGAGCATGTCCTCATACCTGTGCCTTTTGCTGTGGAACTTAACTTCTCTGATGACATTAAAAGTTTCTGCAACTTCTCCATCTGTGAAGACAAAGATCTGCACAAAACAAACATGAGAACACCCATCAGGCCTCTGACAAATTCAAACTAAAAGAAGAGTTTAACTGGAAACAATTCACCTAATTTACATTAAGGTCTCTGGTGCCTCTTTAAACAGGCAGGAGATTTCTAATCTCAGTGTTTTTTGGTCATTTACAATGTTTATAGTGGGGAGTGCAGAACCCTTGGGACTGTCAGTGATTACCCACATTAGGTTTGGTTTAGCTAAGAAGACAAATTCCTCTTATCTTCGTTTCCCTCTCCCATCTAGTAGAAGCCAGAAGCACATACAGTATTTCCATAGTTTTGAATTAACATTCAAGGACACAGAGTCTTGAGAATTTTCATCCCCTCCACCCTTTCTGTTACCTGTAAGGGATGCCCTGGAATGGGGGGTTTCCTAAAAACTTTGCGGAGTGGTGTTAAAATTTCTGTCCCTCCTAGATCTGCCAGCATAAGCTTCACTTTCTCCACGGCTTTCTCCATGGTTTCCTGAGTGTACTTCACACTCATCCTGAAAGAAGCAAGTAGATGTGGTCACGTGATAGTGGCATCAAGCTGCCCGGACTGAGAAACCCCGTCAAAGAATAATCCTTTCTGAAGTCCCCCAAGCCCAGGGGAAACTTCACCAACCTTTTCAACACTGCAGTTCCTCCCTTTAAAATATATTTTCATATGATTTTACAATATTTTGTGTATATTCGTGCGCACTTATGCTTGCACACCCATGTGCTAGATAGCACAAATGTGCCAGGTCAGAAGACTACTTGTGGGAACTGATTCTCTCCATCCACCATGGGAGTCCTGGGGATCAAACTTGGCTTGCCAAGCTGGGTATCGAGTATTCCAACTTACTGAATTCCTACCCATCTTGTATGCTCTCCTATATCTTCTTGGCCTCTCTTTCTAGAAACTTACGGGAAAAACGCCTCATGGGTGGATCCAAATCCATAGATATTGAAATAGCAGCCCATGGGCAAACTCTTCAGTAGCAGAATCAGTGTTTCCTGGAGATGGCAAAGCAGGGTGAGGAGAGTAATTTGGCATACACACACACACACACACACACAGAGAGAGATGCAACATACACACACACAACTGTGGAGGTTGTGGGCTGTCCTACCATGTTATTCTACTTTATACTCTAAGGAAAATCTAAGAATTCAGACAAGAAACATATCTCCATCTCAAACACACCCTAACTAAACCCCTCAGATTCATCCTCTGTGAGCATATTATTCATGGGAAAGAAAAGCTGGTTTTACCTTGGCAGCATCTATTCTCAGCTGAGACCTGTTCTGGCCACTCATGGGGCTCTTCATACTTCTTGAACGGTCCATAAGGAACACAAATTCTCCACATTTTGTTGAGGTTTCCACTTCTGGTATATTTGGATAGAAACTCACCATTGCAGAAGGTGCTCCCATTAAACTATCTATAGAGAAAGATAATGACCTTGTAAGACAAATAGAAACTCAAGAATCCTAAATCCCAAGAATACTATGCTAATACAGGCTTGAAATCTCAGTGACTTGAGATACTAATCCAGAAAAATTGCAAGTTTAAAGTAATCTAAGCTACAGAATGAGTCCAAGGCCAACCTGGGCTATATAATAAAGTTCTTTCTCAAGGAAAAACAAAAGGGTTAAAAAGAGTGCTGGGGACAGATCTCAGCTACAGTGTTTACCTAACATGTGAAAGGCTCTGGATCCACTACCCAGTACACACACGTACACATACACACACACACACACACACACACACACACACACACAAACACACACCACAGATACACACAGTCCCCCTAAATCAACTATGAACAGAACCAAGCCAAAATCCTAATTTTTGTTTGTTTCTTTCTTTCTTTCTTCCTTCTTTTATTTTTTATGGATAGTCTACTCACAAAGGGCTGGAGGTGAGTTACAGACATTCAAAACAAAGAAGTAGAAGAGATATGATAATGAGTATGGGGGTTGGCATGCACAGGTAACAGTGGCAGTGCTGTCAGTGCTGCAGCATACTCACTCATTTCCTGGCACCTCACTAAATTGGTGAGACACTCTAGGTTAGCATTTGCCAAAATCAGCCATGGAATTTGAATGTCCTAAACAAATCAGAGCCCTGGGGATTTATTTCATTGGTCATTAAGACTTTAATTGCAAGACCCAAGAGATGGCTTGGCAGGTAAATCTACCTGCTGCCAAGCCTGATGACCTGAGTTTGCTCTTCTGAACCCACGTGGTGGAAGGAAAGTTTGACTCTTAGAAGACATCCTCTGGCCTCTGAATGTACACACACAACACTGTGGTACACAAGCCTACATGTTCAACCACACACAAAGTAAATGCAGTTGTAAAATGATGACATGCTATTTCTTAGGTTGACAAATTATAAGGGCGTTGATAAGAATTATGTATGCCAGTAAAAGTCTATGCGCTTTATGATGATGTGCTCACCGATAGTCCACAGATAAAAGGGATGCCTTGAGATTGGTGGTAAACTCTAAGCATTTTATTGAAACAATAGTGTGAAGGAGACTACCCTATATGTGTACATTGTTGACGTCGTAGGCGAATTTTTATTTAAAAGCTAATGAAAATTGATTCTGGGATTGGAAATCCAGTTATCAAGATTTAAGTTCTTTGAGAAGGGCAGGGTTATTGCAACCCCAAAACAACTGTTTAGAGAGTATACAAGGTTACAGAATTATATTGTATTATCATTACAAAATGAAACTGGGATGGAAAGTCTGAATTCTTATTAGGCCTGTGGTTCAGTGTGACCATAGATCTGGGCTCAGTTTATTCTCTTATCCATCATATAATCAAAAACTGGATGAATTACATCATAAAGTAGGTATTACCTAGGAAGGATTTGATGGGATATTATTGCAAATATAATTTTTACAGAATCCAAATATAGGATATACAATCTATAATGCAGCAATAGCTTTTTGTTTAATGTATGGGAAATTGATTACTTTTCTGGATAAGACGAGTTCACTGATGGAGTATTTCAAGGCTATTAAAGAAAGAGTTCATTAAAATCATAGGAAAGGATCAACTAAAGGACAAGCAAAGAATGGAACTCCATGGGAAAGGAATTGCTGTTTGTAATTGTCTTGGGAACCTCAACATAGACAGCAAGCTCTGTGGAAAAATGACTGCAAAGGTTATTACAGATTAAATCCCAGAGGCTCATATTGGTGAATTTAAGTGTGAAGTTATATTGGACAAATACTAGCAATGGGAGACTGAGATGGCATTAAATTGAGTCTAACACTTGGGCTGCACATGGCCAATAACAACTAAGAATGTGGCCAATACAGACATGAAAATCAAGTTTATGGCTCTTGAAGGTCAATTTTATAGAAGATGATGCCATGTCACATTGTCAAGGCTGATTAAAACATGCTTGGAAAACGATTGTCAGTAATACACCTTTAAAGCATTTGTAAAGGAGCATGGTCATCATCCCAGTCATTACTGTGATTATCACTGTCCCCAAAGACACAGAATTACACCAACATGGAAAATATCCCAGAAGCAACATGATCACTGAACCAGCAGCACCATGAATGGTGGCTTAGGAAGGTCCATGATTACAAAAGGTTGACATGTGCTATGCCAGATAGAGTTACAAGGAAATGCACACACACACACACACACACACACACACACACACACCACACTTACTTGAAATTTGGAAAAAGACATTAAATAAAGAGAGTAAATCTATTAGGAAGCTAATTAGAAATTTACATACTATATTTGAGAAACAAAGAAAAAAGAGGAAAACAAACCATTCAGAGATAGATAGTGACAATTTAATTAATAACCAGGTGGACCCAGAACTTGGCATGTAAGGCAGTTAAAATGCTAAAATTTGATGTTTATATTTATCTTGATATGAAAAATACTGAGCTTCACATGAGATTCCATATAGATATGATCAACTGATAAAAGTTATTCATTGGATTTAAAAAGACAAGTAGCTAAAATGTCCCTAACTAACCACAGTAAGTGCTTTCATATTTTCTACATTACAAATGACTCTTTCTAATGTACCTATTTTATATGGTAATGTCTTATTTCTGAATACTTTTCCCTTACTTTCCAGTTTTAAAGGATTTTTATTCTAAATTATTGCAACTTGTCAGTGAGTATTATTTTAATAAGTATACATTAAAGCATGTTGTTGGAGCCATAGTAAATTGTATCCCTTTGATATTTTATATCCTAATATTTTTTATTACTAAAATGCTGGGACCATTCTCTGCCAGATTTATTCATATCTATATTTGTTTCCTTAAGACTCCAAAAATTAGAATTGTCTAAAATTTCATGAATGTTAACACATCTGATTCAAATTCTCCTGAAATGCCACATTATCTTGGTGCTGACTTTGAAACCAGCAAATTTCATTATATGTATACTTCCATTTATATTTGATAACTTTACATATCTTTAGTGGTATCTTGTTCCACCAATAGATTTGAGGTACTGGCCTTAGGGTGGGGCTTCTGTGTGTGGATGTGATCTCCTATAAGGAAGAGGAGGGGCCTCGACCTCTCTCTTGGGTTGCAGCCTGAGCATCCTACATCACAGCATCCTGAACTTCCAGGGGCAGAAGACCACAGCATCTATTTACCTTCATTGTGTGAGTGCTCCCCAAGTAAATATCTAAATATCTGATATTCTTTATTTAGGCGTACAGGGACTTCCTTACTCCACCTTCACTTGGCAGCACAACACATGTATATATAACAAATCCTAGTCACATTCTCCATTGCACCCCTCTCTTATATCCCCCCACACCAAACACCTCCTGTTCTACTACAAATCCCATCCCAGAATCATGTTTTGTTTTGTTTTTTATGGACCCTGAATTTCCTCAGGGCTCTCCTCATGTGCCTGGATGTTTCAACACACTTTCTAGAAGTTCAAGGGCTTTCAGCATTTCGTACTGATAATGTTTTCCTGGCCACTTGGCAGAGCTATCAGAAGTGACAATTTTTGAAGGCAGTTTTAAGACAGAGTGTCCTTCTAGGAGGAGACTTAGAAGTGAGGAAGAAAATACCTGATTCCCTTTCGGGCATCCCCATCTCCACAGCTACACTGGGGCTGTGCACCTTCCGGTAGAAAATTAGGAGTTCTACATCCCGGTCAAACTTGTGTCCTTCAGCCAAGGAAAACTGTGTAGGGGACCAGCAGAGAAGCCACATTAGAACTGCCACTGATCGCTTCCCGAGGTTGAAATCAGATCTAGGACTATCAGGTTCCATAAGTAGCACGGGAAGAGAACAAGTAGGTAAAAAAGGTAGTAAGTAGTTCAGAAAGTGAGGAGGATCCAGGAAGGCTGACTTAGGACCAGGTCAATAGTTAAGACACAGAGGACTGACAACTCCGACACTATTTACCTGAGCAGAGGTCCTGCTCTCTCCATTGTAGTTGATGGAACTCAGGGCACAGTTGGATTGGATTGTCCTGATACCAAGCTGGGAGCTGATGGTGGCAACCATGCTCAGTGTGTAGGGCAGGTCCTCCAAAGGTACTATTGGGGTCTTCAGATCCAGGCAACTCTCCTCAGATTGATCTACAGGAAGAACCTTAATTCTGTTCCTTGTCAACACATCTAGCACTCCAAAACCTTGTGGTGCTTACCCAACATATGCTACCGCAGACAGGTATCAAAATGGAGAGGTACTCACCAGAGAGATGGTATCTAGGATTCAGGATTGCTGGGAGCACATAACGCAGGGCCCCATCATCTTCCAGTGGAAGCTCTTGCACATATTTCAGGGTGAGTGCCACCTTTGACCCTGGCTGCAGGTTCCCCACATTGCAACGGAAGACATCCCTGGAGCACTTGTCTTCTTCTAATAAGTATGCCTGATATCCCCCAGCTAGGGCCTCTTCGTACCTTTTGTGGGCCTATAGGAATAAGATGAAGATGACACCGATGAATGGACAGGATGTACATAAAACCCAGACAGTTTTGGAAGGATTTTGATAGGTGTTATAACTGGTAGAACTATACACTAGGTGACTAATTATCTATGTCTCAAATAATTTTAGGCAAATGGATTAGGGGTAAATGAAGGAAAGAACATTTGGTACTAGAATTTTTAAGTTGCTGCATTTGATAAAGTCTAAAGAGAAAGTCCCATGGAAATAAGAAGGGGATGGTGAACTCATCCCTCAGACCTGATACTTGTCCTGTAATTCTGCCACAATTTTCCTCCCATCCACCAAGGCCTCAAAGCTGTAGACAGCAGAGTCTTCATCCATGGGGAACACAAAGAAGGCCTCCAAGGGGACTTTCTCCTCGTTCTCATAATTTAAGGTTGCAGACACACCAGCCACAAAGTCATTAATGGACAGAGTCACAGCAATGCTCTTCAGTGCCACTGGGGAAACATCAGGGTTTAGTAGTTCAGGAAGATTTGCTAGAGTCAGACCCACCCACTAGAACCATCTGGGGTCTAAAGAATTTGGAATTAAGAGTCTTGACTCTTGCTTACCTGGATCCTTAACACCAGTGAGTAAGCCACTAGAACGCACCATGTTGATACTGTTTCTGTGAAAAGACATATTATCCACTATAGTAAATGGTTCAAGGCAACCATTCAAATACCAACATTTTCAGCTGGGTGTTGGTGGCGCATGCCTTTAATCCCAGCACTTAGGAGGCAGAGGCAGGCAGATCTCTGTGAGTTCGAGACCAGCCTGGACTACCAAGCGAGGTCCAGGACAGCCTCCAAAGCCACAGAGAAACCCTGTCTCGAAAAACCAAAAAAAAAAAAAAAAAAAAAAAAAAACCCAAATACCAGCACCTTATGTCTCTCTGGCAGAATACAAACAGACATGCAGAGGGGCCCTTTTAGAGCTAGGAAGAGGGGATGTGGAATAAAGGAGACAGAAATGTCAAAGGTTAAGTTTCTATTAAAGGGCACCTCCCCCCACATAACCCTGTGAAAAGATGCAGAAATCCTGTGGTAACCACAAACAGGAACTCTGTGAGGTCACTTTACACATCAATTCCATTTTCTTTCATTTTTTTTAAGATTCTTTTTTCTTTTATTTAAATTAGACACCAGCTTGTTTTACATGTCAATCCCAGTCCCCTCTCCATCCTCTCCTCCCCTGCTCCCCACCAACCCCATATCTTATCCCATTTCTGCTCTCCATGAGGGTGAAGCCTTCCACGGGGGTTCTTCAAAGTCTGTCACATCATTTGGGCAGGTCCTAGGCCCTCCCCCATGTATCTAGGCTGAGAGAGTATTCCTCTATGGGAAATAGGGTCTCATGTCTATTCCTATACCAGGATAAATATTGATCCACTACCAGAGGCCCCATAGACTGCTCAGGCCTCCTAACTGGCACCCAAATTCAGGGGATCTGGGTCAGTCCTATGCTGATTTCCCAGCTATCAATTTCATTTTCTCTGAAGTGCGAGTAATATACTATGTTTATATTAGCTGTGAACTCTGCTTTTCTGCCCTGGCTCTCTCTCCAGACCCTGCCTTTAAAAAACCTGACAAGTGGTGGTTCCTCCCCTAGGACCACTCAAGACCACACCTACAGTGTATTTAAACTGCCTCCTAGAGAAGGCCACTTGGGGTTTTCTGGCCTCCTCTCCTTGTCTCATCTCTGGGGGTTGGGAAGATCATTTGGGAATATTTTTCCCAATAAACTTGATCTCTTACTTTTAATTCAACTTGATTTGGGTTACTGTGTCAGCACAGTGACTTAGTATGAGGGTACTGAAACCTTTCCCATACTGAACAGGTACCATAAGTGTAAGCCTTTTGAACACCAGGATTCCCTTTTTAAGATAAGAACAACGACATCAGCATACGAATGTGTCAATCCATATGGATGAGCTTCCTAGACTAGGGGAAGATTCTTTTTTTCTTAATTTATTTAAATTAGAAACAAGCTTGCTTCACATGTCAATCTCAGCTCCCTCTCCCTCCCTTCCTCCCCTGCCCTCCCCACCAGACCCCCAGGCCCTCCATGGAGGATCTCCAGAGTCTGTCAATTCTTTCAGGGCAGGGCCTAGGCCCTTCTTAGAAGGCATTCTTCAATGATGACAGATGTTATCAGTGCTTCTGTTGTTATGTTCTCTATTTTTCAATAAACATCTGCTCTTTATTATTTCATTAATATTACTCAGAAACCTGTGAGTGAGTAGCTGAGTAATCCAAGGGATGCCTGCATTTAGATAGACTCCTTGTTGGTGAGTAGCTTTGAAGGTCAGAACACAAGTACACCACCGATTTTCAGTTCTAGCTTTTTAAAAAATAAACATAAACATATTATAAATGCAACATAGCCTCAATTTAAAACTAATGCATCCTGCTGGGTGTGGTGGTGCACACTTTAATCCCAGAACTAGGGAAGCAGAGGCAGGAGGATCTGTATGATTTCAAGGCTAGCCTGGTATACAAGACAGCCATGGCTATCACACAGAAAAACCCTGCCTCAAACACACACACACACACACACACACACACACACACACACACACACACACAAAGAAAAAAACCCTAGAATATTCTAATTTTATTTCTGCAATATGGTAACATTTTAAAAAGATAGCCAATGCTATGTTTTAAAAATATGGACAGAGTACATGCTTCCAGGTTATGGTTTACATGATGACCTCATCACATAGTCTATAGATTGTGTCTCTGGGTTTGGTAACTACCCACTCATTAAGGATAGACCCTTTCCCAATGGCTGGCTATGGACCTCACATGCTGGTAACATTAAAAAGGGAAACATGATATTGGCCCCACTTTGAAATTGAGAATACATATGGTATGACAAGATTGAGGTATTAGGGCTTTATTGGGAGCCATTAAATGAAAGATTCTTTATTCAGATCAAAAGAATAAAATCTGAGTTCTACCTTTGGCCCTGGGTAGGGCCATACATACTCTTTCCTTAAGGGTTAATCCAGGTGGGCCTGTCAATCACCTGGCCAGGAACCTCTCCAGAATACTGACAGCTAAGGATGGGAGGAACAACTGTCTTCTTAGTGAGATAATAAATTTACCACCCCCTTAGCCCTCCCACAGCATGGGGTTGACAGAGATACTATCTATCACACAGGCCTCCAATGCCTGATGGCTTATGTGAATATTAATCAAAAGTTTTCATTTTTTCCTTTAACTTACTTCGTGTCTTTCTCATATACCGACCCAAAGCCAAAGCATGCTTTTCTTGGCACTACAGCCTTTCTAAATGTTTCCATAAAGGCCTACCTCTCCTTTCTATAGCCACTACGTGCATGACTTGCAAGGTACCAATGGCGTCTTTTTGTGTCTCTCTCCAACTCTAATATAACTGTCCTTGAAAGTCTGCTTCTAAATTTTTTTTTATTAAAGAGACTACAAAATCATGAAAAAGAACCTCACTAACAAGGGGCTTAAATTTTTCCATGAGAGCTTTCTGTACCTGATCATCCCCTAGCTTTCCTTCCCCAGCCGTGACAAAATGCAACCTGCACTGTCATGACAGGCACTAGGGAGGGTACTTTTCACTGGGGCTGAAGTGTCACTGCCTGGAGCAGGCAGCATGCTCAGGAAAACTGACTCTTTGATGTTGACACAATGGTGCCAGCACCATTGATTCCTGTACCTCCCTTTCCCAGAGACCTACAAGCCATGGAAACAAGGGCTCCTGAGAGGTCAGTTTTTCTTTGTGATACAACCCCAACTGCTTGATTCCGAAGCACTTGACAGTGATTTTCTTCTTCCTGGGCCAGCTATCCTCATTTAAATTGCAATTTCAAATAGATTCTGAGTTGTGATGTGTCTTAATGACACAGCATTTGCGTAACATACGGAGCTCGCACACACACACACACACACACACAGAGAGAGAGAGAGAGAGAGAGAGAGAGAGAGAGAGAGAGAGAGAGAGAGAGAGAGAGAGAGAGCACAAAATCTCCATGCTGATCACACATCTGATACACCCAGCCCCACTCCCGCAAATCCACAGCTATGAATCTGGCTCATGTCTCCACGTTCATTATTTTTCAGCAACTGGGAAATAAATTCTGGCTGTTAAAATGGTATGCCGCTGGACAGCAAAATAAGAATTGCAACAGATGAGGGTATATGGAAACACAGAGCGGCTGGGAAAGCATTCTGAGAAAGGAGGCTTCCTTTAAATGAGACTAAATGAGACAGAGAGGGGCCTGAGGCCGGGGAAACGATTTTCTAATAAGAGCAACAGGAAGCTTAGAGCAGGAGACTCACCCAGGAGCAAGTCAGCAGAAGGATGGACTCTGTCTGGCAGCGGAGACTGCAGGCTGGCAGTGACCACTGCAGGAGGCTGAGAGAGGAGAGAGGCAGACCACAGTCACGGATGATGGAAAACACCCCCCCCCTTTTTTTTTCCTGCAGCCAACCTCGGAGTAAATTTCCCTCACCGAGGGATTGCATCCTCCCTCCCACCCCTTCTCATATAAACAGTCAGTTGTGGCAGTTATGTCTCTCAGAAAGAAACTGAGAGAGGTGCCTCTAAGTACTCAGTGGGGAGAGTATCCGCAGGTGTGACCATCGAAGCGCTGACCCTGTTGCTGCTGGAGGATGGAGGGCTTCTCACTGAGTAGGGATCTGCTCTGGTGCGGACCCTCAGAGCAGAGCAACTGCAGAGGCAGAGGTGGGAGTGAGAAGAAACAGCTGGCCACACCCCCTCAGCTGGCTGATGGGAAATCCAGAAGCTAGAAGCTGACCATGGAGGAAACTTGGAATGGGGAACATAGCTTGCAAACAAACAAACAAACAAAACAAAACAAAAAACAGGCGGGGAGAGGGATTTCAACTTTAAATTATCTGCCCTCGATTTTTCAGTACCCTAGAATTTATTTAAAAGGTCAGTTTTCCTGAGGTTTTGTTTGTTTGTTTGTTGTGTTTTGTCTAAGGCCTTAAGGGCTCCAAGCAGTTTGTGAGGTCACAGGCTTCAAACTTCGCTTCCACAGCACGATCTTACATCACACTGATAACTTAGTTGCCTGAAAAGAAAGGAATTTTAAAGTTGAAAAAAGGAATGGAAAGAGTTAAGGAAGTAGAGAGAAAAAGAGAAGGGAAGAAACATAATACAGAAAAACAGGCAGACAAACCTACAGAAGACAGGAAGAGGGGCTTGCTTGAGGCTATTCCATGGTTAAAAGATTCTTACAGCAGGCTGAGTTTTCCCTACACTTCCAATGGCGCAGAAATCTCCCACAAGCACTCAAGTCCTGCAGTATGAATAAGCCCTTAAAGAGGATGGGCCTCCAAGTGGAGAGGGGGGAAGGGAAGGCAGTCTTTAGGCGAGGGGTGGGGTAGGGTGGGGGTAGGTGGGTGTTTGTAGAACAGGGACCTGGATTTGGTCCCAGAGCCTGCAACACTGTCACTTACCTTCCCCAGAAACCCTGGTGCTGCGTGTCAAGAAAAGTGAAAACAGCTGCAGATTAATTTTCCTGGAAGACACGCCCACTTCTCTGGCTCTGTTGTAACATAGCAACTGCAGAGAAGAGAATCCCTTTTGAATTTCAAAGCTAGCTGCTTACCTCTGCCTGCCTTCTGCAGAGGCAGGACCAGGGAGCAGGCAGGGAAAGCAATTTGTTTTTCAAGTGAAAATGCTGTAGAATTACAAAGCGAAACAAAAAACAACAACAAAAGCAGTGTGAAAACTGGCTTTACATCACTGCTTCTAGTTTTGAAATTAAGGCTTCCACCCCCAGGAAGCCATTGGTCTAGGGCAAACACAGTGCCTCACAAGAGGGGCAGCATCTGTGTAGAACCCACCCACATGTGATGTGGTTGCTCAGTGTTGGCTGGCTGGAGTATCCAGCAGCAAAAGTCAGAAGCTGGCAAAGCAAGCATAGTTCTCCCTCCAGCCTGGTGGAATAAGACTCAAGTCTTCTGCAGAGCAGATGTGACAAATAATGTTGTAAGAAGCAGAATTGGGAAACACTTATGGAACAATACATACAAATAGATAGGCCTCTAGAATTCACCATAAATCCAAATGTGATTTTTAAACAACGAATGATTTCATCTTTCCATATGAAATTTTTAATGAGTCCAGTGATCAAGGCTTTAAGGAGAAACATGTTATTTTATGTACATATATATTATATGTATATATTTAAATATATATGGAAGGCAATGTTGTGTGCATCTGTGTCTTGTCAATAATAAAAGACAGAAGTGATGTTACCCAACTGTACTAGCTAAGTTTTGTATCAACTTAACACAAGCTAAAGAGCCATTTGGGAAGAAACCTTAATTGAGAAATAGGCCCCAAAATTGGTCAGTGAGCAGTCCTTTTGGGTCATCTCTGTGTTTTGAAAAGAACACACTTTTCCTTAGTTGTGAGTGCTAGACACTGGTGTAGTGATATATTGTTTATGATATAATATAGTCTGCCTAGAGGTTAGATTGCAATGCCAACCACAGGTATAGAGGCCAGGCAGTGATGGTACGTACCTTTAATTCCAGCAGTCAAACTACTTTGCCATAGGAGCTGGACGGTGATGCTGAACGTCTTTAATATAGAGTATATAATCTCCATGCACTACAGAAGTATATAAGACAGAAGCAGGGTCCCAGAGCTGGTAATTAGTCTCCAGTCACGTTGAGAATAGGATCACCCCAGCCTTGGTAGAGGTAAGATTTCTCTGGTAGCTTCGCTGCTTGATATTCTGATCTTTACCTTGAACCCCAATATCTGTCTCTGGGTTTTGTTATTCCTGTTACACCCTTGCCCTGATATTTAACATTTTTACATTTTCCCCCACATGTTTCTGTCTTCGTTTTTTTTTTTTTTTACTTTCTTTATCATTACCATTGTTTTTCTCTTTTTTTCTTTTTCAGTTATGGTATTGTTTTTCTCACTCTTTTTTCCATCTCTCCTAGTTCAGAATCCCCAAACTCTGTTCCTTCCAGCGGCACTCTGAGTAATCACAAGTCCCTTCAACTGTTAAAGCTTAGGTGAAAGAGTACTCACCCATTCCCTAAGGAACTCAGAGACCTCAGGTTGCTTTCACAGGGATCACTTCTTGTCCAGCTGAAATCATGTCCTGGGCTTTTTCTAAACACCATGCAGAGGGGTTGCTTTGCACAGTCACTGGGCTTCAGATCAGCCCTTGCTTCCTGGCTTGCTCAGCACTTTTTTTTTTTTTTTTATGAGACAAGGTTTCTCTGTATTGTTTTGGAGGCTGTTGTTCCAGCCTGGCCTCCAACTCACAGAGATCCACCTGCCTCTGCCTCCCGAGTGCTGGGATTAAAGGTGTGCGCCACCACCGCCTGGCCGCTCAGCATTTTATAATTTCAGAATATTGCACCTTCCTGATGACGTTTTCTCTTTCTTGACACACTCTTTGATGGAATCCCTCCACAGATTTCCGTTGTGGAAAAGCTTCTGTAATTTGTCTAAAAACATTTTTGTTCTCCCCAACCTTTAAAAAGGGAGTGTCTTTTGGATTCAATTCCAGTTTGATTTTTACCATTGTTGTCCCGAGAGAGACATCTGCCTTTGCTAAATGATCATCATTTGTGAGTAAAAGTTTCCATTTTCTTTCTTGCTGTTATTACGTGTGTGTTTGTATGTGTGTGTGTCTGTCTGTCTGTCCATGCGTGCATGCTCTTTCCTTCCACTACAGGGTTTACCATTTGGATTTATTTAATGTTGTTGAATTGGGCATTTGTTGAAACTCTTGAATCTGAGAACAGATGTCTTTATTGTCTCAGAATGCTACCAGCCCTTATCTTTAAATATTACATCTTTTCCATTCTTTACATATTCTCCTTTCTTAACTTTAATCAGACATTTGTGAAACTAATGCTTAAGATGTATTCTTTGTCACTAATTCTCTTCCTGAATATCTAATAGTCTCTAACCTAACACTGAGTTTTCACACTCAGTCATTTTCTTCCCTCCTCCCTTCCTTTCTTCCTTCCTTGCTTGCTTTCTTTTTTAAATAACCAATAAAGACAAAATAAAATATAAGATACAGCAAAGAAAAAAATCACATCAAGACTAGACGAGGCAAACCAACAGAAGGCAAAGAAACCCAAGAGCAGGCACAGGAATCAAGAGATCCACTTGTTCACATACTTAGGAGTCCTATAAAATACTAAACTGAAAGCCATAATATATACACATAGGACCAAGTGCAGACCCATGTAGTCCCCTTACTTGTTGCTTCAGTCTCTGAGAGTTCATATGAGCTTCACTTATGTTGATTTAGAGGGCCTTGTTCTCCTAGTGTTCTTCATATAGCTCTTAAAATCTTACTTCCTCCTCTTCCATGGAATTCATTGAGTTAAGGGGAGTGATTGGAAGAATTCTTCCCATGTAGAGCAGTATGGTCCATATGGTCCAAGGACACACACACACTTTCTCTTTCTCTCTATCTCTGTAATGTCTGGCTATGAGTCTCTGCATCTGTAAGAGGAAGCTTCTCTGACAAGGCATTGATTCTGTAAACTGCCTTTATTGTGTTTAGGTATGTTCTTTGTATCCCTAATTTCTCCAGGACTTTATCATGAAAGGGTGTTAGATTTTGTCAAAAGCATTTTCTACATCTAATGAAATAACATTGCTGCTTTTTTATTTCAGTTTTTTATATAGTAGATTTCACTGAAAGACTTTCATATATTAAATGATCCCTGAATTCCTAAAATGAAGCCTACTTGATCATGGTGGACGATAAATTTGATGTGTTCTTGGATTTGATTTTCAAGTATTTTATTGAGTATATTTGAATCTATGTTCATGAGAGAAACTGACCTATGTTATTCTTTATTTGTTGATTTGTGTGTGTGTGTGTGTAGTTTAGGTATCAGGGAGATTATAGCCTCAAAAAAAAGGATTTGGCAATATTCCTCTCTTTCTAAGTTGTGAAATTATTTGAGGAGTATCGGCTTAAGCTCTTTTAAAAAGTCTATTAGAATGCTGATCTTAAACCGTCTGTCCCTGGGCTTTTTAGGGAGGGTTGGGGAGACTTAATGGCTGCTTCTATTTCCTGGGTGTTTTAGGTATACTTAAATTATTTATCTGATTTTGGTTTAATTTTGGTTAAGTTGTGTCAATTGAGAAAATTATCAAATTTTTTGGATTTTCCAATTTTGTGCAATACAGGTTTATGAAGTATGACCTAATGAGCCTTTGAATTTCTTCAGTGTCTGTTGTTATATCCCCCTTTTCGTTTCTGATTTTGTTAATTTGGATATTTTTCTCTCTTCCTTTTACTTAGTTAGGATAAGGGTTTGTCTATTTTGTTGATTTACTCAAAAAAAAACCCAACTCTTTGTATTACTGATTCTTTGTATTGTTGGACTTTTCTTTCTAGGCTGGATTTATAGATAGATATTGTTATTGACTTTATCATGAAATGTCTTATTTTATCCATCTATGGTAAGTGAGAGTTTTTCTGGTTATAGTAGTATACACTAGCTGGCATTTGTGGTACCTCAGAGTCTGAAACACATCTGTCCAGGCCCTTCTGGTTTTAGAGTCTCCATTGAGAAGTCCAGTCAGCCTTTATATGTTGCTTGACCATTTTTCCTTGCAGCTTATAATATACTTTCTTAGATATATATATTTATATATATATACATATACATATATATATATGTGGGTCTCTTCTCCTTCTATTATATTATTCTTAGGTTTAGTCTTTTCATAGTGACCCAGATTTCTTGGATGTTTTGGTCAGGAGTTTTTTAGATTTACTACTTTCTTTGACCTATATATCCATTTCTTCTACTGTATCTTCAATGCCTGAGAGTCTCTCTTGCATCTCTTGCATTCTGATGGTGAAGCACTCCTTTGTAGTTTTTGTTCAAATTCCTAAGTCTTTCATTTTCAGAATTCCACCAGTTTTGATTTTCTTTGTGATTTTCTATTTCCAGTTTCAGGTCCTGGATAGTTTTATTTATTCCTTTACATTATTTGTGCCGTTGTCCTGGATTTCTTTAGGGGATCTATTTATTTTCTCTTTAAAGACCTCTATCATATTCATAAAAGTTGCTTTAAGATTTTTTTCATGTGCTTCAGTTACGTTGGAATATTTTGGGTGGGATAGCTGAGCCCTGGTGAAGATGTATTACCCTGGCTATTGTTAGTTGTGTTTTTATAATGGTCTAGGCATCTGGCTTTGGGTGATTAAAGATCTAGATGTCCGTTTATTAATTTATCTTTGTTGGGTGGGTGTTTTGTTCCTTGGCTTATGTTTCCCCTCTGTATTTTCAGAGAGTGTGATTGCTGTGATGGTTTGTGCAATCTATAGAAGATGTGGGCAGGGCTTAAAGAAGGCTGGGGCTGATATTCTTCTGCAGTGTTAAGGACAAGACTGGAGTCTTGGGTCTGGGGTAACAAAAGGTTTGTGGACAGCCTACCTGGGTTTCTTGCAGGTATGACCTGTGGTTTGTAGGACATATTTTTAATAAGTGATTGATGTGGGAGGGTCTACCCCATTGTGGGTGGTGCCACTCTTGGACAGGTGGCCTATGTGTATCAGAAAGCAGAATGAATGG